TGGTTAAATGAAATGATGCATGCCAGTTTTTAGCCCAGTGCTTAGTAAACCCTCAGTAAACAGCTTAAAAAAGAAAAGACCACAGAAATTTCAGAAGGGACATTGTCATGCTAATATGGATGCTTTAGGAGAGTTATCCTGGCAATACTGTATAAAATGATCAGCAAAGAAAGAGATTGAGGTTGGGAAGACTAGTTAAGCAGCTCATAGAAAGACCCATGTAAGGGATAATGTGTGTGAGATTTAAGATAGTGGCATGAGAAGAGAGAAACTAAGATATATCTGAGATATTGTAGAGTGTTATGGCTTGTGTTTAGATGTCCCCCCAAAGACTCATGCAGCCATAAGTGGTTTTTTTTTGGAGGTGGCTGAATCTAGAGTGTGTGATGCTGGGCATAAGGGTATGTAATTACTAAATTAGTGCACTGATTGGTTGGCATAGTTCTGAGTGTGGATAGTGGGAAGGCCCAGCCTGGTATGAGTGCTACCCCCTCTAAGGGCAGGTAGCCTGGATAGAATGTAAGCGACAGAAAGGGCTGCTGTGGATACTTGCTGCTTTGCTATCTTGCTGCCGTCTGCCTTCTGCCCACCATGAACTGTTTCTTCTCTGTGATGCTCCTCTGCCGTGCTGTTCTGCCTTGAAGCCAGTGAACTATGAACTGAAACGTCTAGAAACTACGAGTTAAATAAACCTTTTTAACTTCGGGAGTTGGGTGTTTTGTCTCAGCAGTGAAAAAGAGATGGAGACTCAGAGGTGGAATTGATGGGAATTGATATAATTAGGTAGAGATGTTATAAAAATAACTTAAACTACTTAAATTTTACCATAGGAGGTTAGCTAATTTAACAGTGAAGAGTCTGTTGCACTATTTATTTTTTAAGCTGTAAATCCATTACAATATTAAAAACAGCCTGTCAAGTTGAAACATTCGGCCTACTTTGGTAGCACATACTGAAACTGGAGCAGTACAGGATAGAAAATAACATTCTTTTATATACCTTTACTAGGAACCTGGAATGTTGGTAGCTTAGTTTCACTTTTCATTTGTAGTAGGAAAATTTGCACACATTTCTGCTATTTTTTTTTTCACTTGACTACCTCTGTCGCTTTTTTAACACAGTTTTTAGTTTTTAACATGTTTTTAGGAACTTTGAAGAATAACTGTTAATATAGTCAGGTACTAATGTGAACTTGTAGTCTGTTAACACATGTAATATGAAGCAGTTGAGAGAGAAAAATACTTTCTCTGATTATATTTTAAAGGCAAAAGGAATGGTACAATTATGTGACCTTCTAAGGAAGTATGTAGTCAAGCATGGTGTATCATTTTACAGAAATGTAACATAGCACTGTGGATCCACGAAAGGGTTCACCCATCTGGATTTTCATTTCTGTCTACCACTTCTAGCTATGTCAGTGCCTAGGTATTTCAAAAATGGGCCTATCTAAGCTCAAACTAAGAAATATGCTTGAAATAAGCAGTAGAAGCCAAAATGCTTTACAAATATATATAATACATAATCCCGGCACTCTGAGAGGCTAAGGCAAGAGGATCACAAATTCAAGCCCAGGCTGAGAGACTTAGCAAAGTTTTAAAAAAAAAATATTAAAAAGGGCTAGGAACATAGCTCAGTGCAAAGGCCCTGGGTTCAGTCCCCAGTACCACAGTGAGTGGATGAGTAAATCTGTAAATAATTTAGAAACACGTATTTCTAGCCTGTCTCCTTAGTGTCCTATCTGTCCGTTAATAATGTGTTAAAACTTCTGTTTATTGCATTACTTCAAAAGTGAAATTTGTCATCTCCTTTCTAGTCCTTATCTCTATCCGTGGAGGTGGGGAATGACCTGATTCCCTGGATTTTCCTGTTTTAAGTTTCCATAATTCTCCCATGCTCTGTTGTTCCACTCACTGTTGTAGGGTTATATTTGGCTCTTGATTTCCAAGTCTTGTCAGGTCACCCTTTTAGTAACCATTGTTTGGCACACAGTTTCAGTCCTTTTGCTACATCCTTTATCTTCCAGGGTATAAGTATTAAAACTTTGTCTACTGGCTGCTGTATTTACATTTTTCCCTTGTCAGTCCATTACAGTATAAACTTAGCTTTCTAAAAAGCTATTTCGTTCTTTTCCGTGAAACCTATAGTCTCCCCTTGCTTACAGGAGAAAATTCAAATAATTCACCTTAGCATTCAGTTAACTCTGGCTTTATCTTCTATCTCTTACATTGGCTCTGTTCCTTATCTAGACTGTTCTTATTCTCCAACTAGGCCTTGCATGTTCTTGCTTGGTAACCATATAGAGAAAAACTGTATTGCAGGTCATTTTAAAGTATATGTTTAAAAATTTATTTCTAGCCAGTTTAAAAATGTTACAAATTATCTTTGTCGTAGTTTTCAAAAGCTTTGCAAACATTTTGGATATATTTAATCTTTTATTACTAAGGAGTTGAAGGTGATAATGGGGCAGTTCAAGTAACCAATCATTTGATACCTTTGATACTAATTGGCTTCTAACCAATTCCTGCCCTGAAAGTGTGGTCTTAAATATCTTCAAAGGCCCTGAGTTTGATATGAGCTCATGGAGAATTTCTCACTAGTTAAAAAAAAAGTACACACATACACACACACACACACACACACACACACAATAGCTAAGATAATTGCATTACTAATTTCTGTTGGTTTACTGAACAGAGCAGTTAATGCTTAATTTTTTTGACCAATTTTACATGCTTATATCTGGTAATCTGAACAACTACTTCGAAGACAACATTTTGCAATATAACAACCATTGTTGAATTCCTACATGTTGTTTTTTGAAATTCTGTATCGTTTTCTAATGTTTTTCTTTATTATTTTTTTATTCTCTTTAAAATAAAAAGAAAAACAAAACATTTTTCGCTCAATACGTATTAATACATAGGGACCCTGATTATCTAGTTGAAAAAACTAAGAAATCCTGGAGCTTGCCTACTGTAACATAGCACTGTGGGTCTACAAAAGGTTTCACCTACTGTGAAAGGGTCTGCCCAGTGTTCGTGAAGCCCTTGGTTCAGTCCCCAGAACTGAAAAAAAATGGTGGTCTCTTGTTCCCCCACTCTTCTTTATGTAACATAGTACTTCTCTAACAGTAATAATACAGATTTATAAAGACATGGTGAAAGATGATCCAGAATGCAACCTGTTTGTTCATCATTTAAAAGAGACTCTACAGACAAGGAAAAGAAACTCTTACAAAGGTACCAAAAATACTATGTGGAGAATTAATCTTAATTATCAATATATATTTTTTTCTTTTTCCTCTCTTAACATTGGTTAAAATAAATTTTAAAATGTCAAAAGTTAAAGTTTGTGTTTTGATGCCCTACAAACTTCAGACTTCTCTCTGAATTCTGACCTTGAGAAGCAACTTAACCTCTCCTTACTTGTTTTTCTCATCTGTAAAGTGGGGATAACTGGGGTTTGGGGAGGATTAGATGAGAAAATACATGGGAAATTCTTGGTACTGTGCCTAAGTAGTGCTGCTGCTTTTTCTTTTTCTACTACAGCCACCTAAATCACTCGTTATTCAGACTATTTAAATAATCCCCCTGCTTTTGTCCTTAGTAAAATAAGGGTAAAAGTTCCTTTTAAATTACTGTAAAGAAGGATCATAATGGTTCGATGACATAGTGAACATGAAATATACAGGGGGTACCTGTTATAGTTGCTGAATGTTTATTCTGAAGAACTCTTTGGAACGTATACTTACTTGCTTCTTTAACGTCTGTCCTTATTTGTTATGAAGGGTAACATTGCTACTTAAACCTGTAGTTTGGTTTGAGGATTAACTGTCTGAAGTTCATAGTACAGTGTTCAGCACACAGAGTATCGTCGGTACAGAGTATTAGCCATTATCATTAAATGTTTGGTCTATACCTGTTTTATTCTTTCTGCATTTACACCATTTTTTATGTAATTATTTAATATGTCATTTTATATGTTTTATATTTCTGGCCAGATTGTAAATATTGTGTGAGGGTTCCCGGTTGTCTGTGTCCTTTTCAGTGTTAAGTATTGTCATTTTAAAACGTTTACCCATTTTATTTTTTAATCATATTTCATTTTTTTTTTTGGTTGAGACAGGGTCTCACTATGTATTATAGTTTAGGCTGGCATTGAACTCACTGCAGTCGTCCTTAGTCTCCCAAATGCTGGGATGACAAGCTTGTGCCACCATGCCCGGCTTTCTCATTGTATTTTAAAAACAGCTTTATTGATAGAATTCACATATTGTACCACTCACTCTTTTCACTTGTACAATTCAGTAGCTTTTAGTATATTCAGCGTTGTGCAATCATCACAGTTAATTTTCTGCATCATCAAAAGAAACACCTTAACCATAACTCTCTGCCCATTAACCCTAAAACTCTACTTTGTCTCTATAGATTTGCCTATTCTGGATATTTCATGAATGGAATCATGTAGTATGTGGTTCATTGTGACTGGCTTCTTTAACTTTTCTTTTCAAGGATCTTTTCCATTGTATATTTTTGTATACCCAAATGCTTTATATATGGACATAAACCTTTTTATTTATCCATTTGTTGGTGGTGGAGATTTGGATTTTGTTCTCTGCTTTTTGCCTGTTACAAATAGTGCTGTTATGGATATTTTTTCACGTGTGTGTAAATGTGTTTTCATTTTTCTTGGTGTGTACTTGGGAGTGGAATCACAGGGACTTAGAGTTTTTGTTCAGCCTTTTAGGAGTTGTTAGACTGTTTTCAATGTGACTGCACCATTTGACACATCCAATGGCACTAATATACAGTAACACTGATTTTTAATTGATGTCTGTTAAAGACTGGGGTGGTGGTGGTGGATTTTTACTTTGTACCAATCCTAGATACCTGAAAACAAATTTGGACATCGCCCTGAGTTAACTTTCCTCTCTTTTCCACCTCCCTCAGAAACACGTGAGACTTACACTTGACTAATCATCTGGTTTTTCTGTTTTACAGAGTAAGAGAGTTAGCCTGAGTTCTGTGAAGAACCAAAAAGACAAGGTTTTTCCAGTTTGCATAATGTAAGTTCTTTTCACTATTCTTGGCTGCAATCCTGTGTTCGCTGACAAAGCTGTTTCTATGGAAACAAATAGTCCAGCCTCTTAGAATGTCAGAGGAATGCTGATCACTTAAAATGAGACTTCCCAGCTGCTGGTCAAAGGGCATTCCTTGCTGAAGAAGGGAAAGAAAGATGAATGGAAATATTAAAGTTCTGGACACTAGTGTAAACTGAGATGATGTGTATACATATGGAATATATTTTTCATCTCTGTCTGTAAAAATGAAAATACTATTTCCCTTCTAATCTGTATTGTTCTCCTGCAAACCTGTTATGCTTCTCAGCTATTACATAAATGGTTCTGTTTCTTGGTACAGTTTTTCAGTACTTCTGTACTGTTAGGCTGTTTCAGTTCTCTCATCTCAATCATTTGTACTTGAAGCTTATTTAGCTTTCCTTTATTCCCTCTCTTAGCCAGTTCATGGAAGCATATCCCTTCCGCCCACATTACTTTCAAGTTAGCACCAAAATAGCTTTGGCCTGCCAATTTGAAAATTTATTTTCTTGCTTTGTGAATGATGTAAAGATTTTTTGTTTTGTTTTTTGTTGTTGTTCTTTGTAGGGAGTGGAGTTAGGGATTCTGACAAAGACTAGAAACACAGCCTTGGAATCGTTTTCCTTCTTTTTTTTTTTTTTTTAATTTTAAACTTATGATTGAAGGTTGGAAAGAGAGGAATTAGGCCAAAAACTTGTAAACTCCATTATCTTCAGCCTATTATTTGCACCAAGGAGGTAATTTTCTAGTTTGGTCATTTATTTCTGAACTATCAAAGGATATGGGTCATTGTATTTTTGTTTTTTAAGTCCTTTGGACTGGGACTCTTTTATTATTTATTGATATATATTGAATATATATCTATAAATGCTAGATTATTCATGGATTCCCTGCTTACAAGTTTTGATTTTGCCTCGGTGTGGGTGGCACATGCTTATAATCCCAGCAGTCGGGACTGAGGCAAAAGGATCACAGTGAATTAGAGGTCAGCCTGGGCTCGATAGTGAGACCCTGTATTAAAAAAAAAAAAATTCTAACACAGGAGTACTCTACCACTGAACTACATCCACAGGCCTTTTTATTTTGAAACAGTCTTGCTAAGTTGCCAAAACTAGTCTTGAACTCATAATCTTCTTGCTTTAGCTCTCATTGCTGGGATTATAGGTGTGCACCACTATACTTCACTGAAAAGTAGAACGACTTTAGTGCCAAAACTGTGGGACACAGCATAGTGTTCCTTTGCTTCTGGAAGTACTTTAGAATCTCTCATGGCCATCATGGATTAATTTGTGAGCATGATAGCGTCTTTTGGATTGTTCTGTGTGATGAGCTTATTTAACCAAGAAGATCTGAAAGATTTCTTGAAGAAATTAGGGACTTGAGGGAGCTCTTGAAGATGGAAGGTGAAAAGAGATGCATTTCGTAAGGCATTTGGGCAGGAGGAAGAAAGATACGGATAGGCACAAATGAGGCTAAATTAAAAGGCTCACGTGGGATAGTATAAAAAACACCGAAAGTTTAGATTGATTTTATAGACTTCATTTTCTAGGTAGTGTTGAAAACCATCAGAGGTTCTAAACAGAGGAATGATTTGCTCACATGCTTAATTAATCATCTATCCCTCACTAGCAAAACTATAGAGATGAATAAGACAGATCCCTGCCAACTAGATCTAATGGTCATGTGATTCCATTGGTCTGGAACAGGCTCTTCTGTGCGACTAATATTTAGTTGCCCTTTGAGATGCAAGGCAAAGAAATGTGTCCTTATGTTTTCAGTGTTTTCTCTCTTTACCACAATGAATTTTAGATCTGTTCATCCTTTATGAATTTGTGACATTCTAAGCTTAGTTGAACAAATATTTCTTGGGCATTTCTTATATGACAAGTATTATGCTAAACAGTGGTGGTACAGAAAAAAGACATGAACTCTTAACAAATTTGGAATCTGTGATGGTGAGGATAGACCAACTGGAGAAGTCATTTATCTTCTTTACTCTCTCCTAGTAGACTGTGAACTCTCAAAGGGAGATAACAAAAATGAAATTTTAGCAGCTTAATATCAGTTGGAAGAAATTTTTCTGAAAGTAAAAGACTAGATCCAGATAAACAAGCATGATGATAATAGTCCAACCGTGAAAATTGGTGTGGGAGGGTGTTTTTTGTTTTTCTCCAAGTCCTGGAACTCGAGCTATGACCAACCATGAGAATTACGACCAAGAGCACCTGAGCGTGATCTGTAATTTTCTGTTGCATGATCTATAATTTTCCTCATAATTTAGTATAGTGAGTATTTAATGTTTTTGAGTGTTTTTAAACTGAGTCTTAATTTCAGATTCTAGTTTATGTTTAAAAATGCAATCTATTATTGTTTGATTTTTAATATCCAGTAATTGTAAAAAAAAAAAAAAAAAGAAAAGCTGAGGGTTAACTTTCTGGAAATATGTACACTCCTATTTTTTTTTAATTTGAAGTTAAGAATAGCACCAAAATAACTCCTACACAAATTTCTGCTTGTAGTGAAAACATTAAATTAGCTGAGTTTGCATTTGTGTATAATCAACATATAAACCTTAAGATTGTCTGAAATCAATCTAATGGCTTTCATTTTAATGAAAAAGAAGATTAATGGCAAATAAGGTAGGGTAGATCACAGAGTTGTTAATAAACCAAAATTTGGATGGATGATAATAATCTACCCCAATTGTTGTGAAAATACAGTTTTAGTGTCTTCCTAATTCTTGGCCTTACTTGTTTTTCCTAATAGCCTAGGTTTGTAAATTAAATACTGTGTCTTCTGTCGCTGTTTTTATCATGGCCTGACATACGTGAAAGAAGATTGGTGTTAGGAATATTGCCTAAAAACCTGGTTTTTGCTTAGTTAGCATTGTGCTCTAAAAAACTTACTTATTGAAATGATACTCAATTCAAGGAGATAGTAGGTGTATTATTGTAAATATTTTTAAAGCCTTGAATGAAGGAAAGTTAATTAGATTTAATGTGTGGGTTTATGCATATATAAACAATCTGCCTATTTATGCCCAAGAAACGGCTTCATGAAAAGCCAGTATTATTCAGTAAAATATTTTTGTCTCATATGTTGGAAGAATTTTAAAATAGGATCAAGTTATTTTTTCACTTTGTAACTTATGTACCTTACCTTATAATTTAGGATAATTCTGTGAATAAATTCTATAAGTGCGTCTGAGGTTTAGAAAGAGAATCGTCTTAAATCATGAAGCTCTAGGGGAGCGATGGAGAACCTTTTAGAGCTTTCAATGATACAAACAGCCCACTGCGGCATGGGCACTGTAGGTTCATGACCACTGCTCTAGGCAAAGTGGCAGAGTCAAAATGAAAATTCAATTTTCTAATCTCTAAATCCAGTGTTATTTTTGCTATATAATAGGATTTTAAAATTTTTTGAGTGGTATTGGACACTACCATTTTCTCTAAAGGAATCCTTGTTAAAAAAAGTACCCTAATTTTTTATAAATGTAATTATAAAGACTAATAACTTGCTTGGCCCTTTTCTCATTCAGTAATAGTTTTATCCTTAGATGCCTTTGCATCTCATTGAATTTCTTCTTTTGGCATCTTTATCTCAACCCCCTTCTGCCATGAGTTAATTTTCCAAGAAAATTTTCCGAGAACTGCCTGTGTTTTGAGTGAGTTACCTACGTGGCTTGCTTTATGTCAAATTGCTATTAATTGCTTTTTAGCAGTTAAATCATTAATCTCATGTGTATTAGTTAAATACAAAGCATTGTGTTGATGTAACTTTAAAAGGATAAACACCATTTAAACTATAAGTAATTTACTCATTGCAAAATTAGTAGCCAAAACCTTTTACTTTTCCACTTTGCTAAACTTCCCAGTATATTTCCTAGCAATAAAATTGAATATTATGCTTCACATTCTTGGGAGATGACTTTTTTGGGAAACACTTTCGTTCCCTCAGGGTTATCTATAAAATGAAAAGAATGTATTTAATCTACATAGAAAAATACTATTGTATACTTACTAGATATTTTCTGTATTGTGTGGAGATTGGAAGTAGGCTGTGTAAAGTCTAGTTTTATGTTGTAATTCTTACACTTTTTTCCCCCGTCTTTCCCCTTAGATTTCCCTCATGGATATTTTTCATAGCATTGTTATGTGATGTGAGAAGGTTTTTTTTTTTGAAGTAAACATGGATTTTATACTACAGAATCAAGAAAATTGGCATTGTAAGAAAAATTGATATATAAAAAGTGGTACAGGTGTTTATAGATAACCATGACAACATCCTATATGAATGGGCATGTTACAGAGGAATCAGACAGCGAAGTAAAAAATGTTGATCTTGCATCACCAGAGGAACCTCGGAAGCACCGAGAGATGGCTGTCGACTGCCCCGGAGATTTGGGCACCAGGATGATGCCAGTACGACGAAGTGCACAGTTGGAGCGCATTCGACAGCAACAGGAGGACATGAGACGTAGGCGAGAAGAAGAAGGGAAAAAGCAAGAACTTGACCTTAATTCTTCCATGAGACTTAAGAAACTAGCCCAGATTCCTCCAAAGACTGGAATAGATAACCCCATATTTGATACAGAAGAAGGCATTGTCTTAGAAAGTCCTCATTATGCTGTGAAAATATTAGGTAAGTAAAAATCGCAGGATAATAAAATATTTTTGCTTTCTGTATGCTTTAATATAAATCTGTGGGAAGGAATGGGGGCTTACGAATGTAAGTAATAGTTATTTGGATTATTTTCTTGGAAAGGCCTTGTAATCATTATTTTAGTCACATACAGCAAAGATGTGTAACTTAAGTGTTTCAGTGTTTTCAGATATACAAAGTTCTACATGTGGCTTAACATTGAAAGTTTTGATTCATTTTTTATATCAGACTCACTGATTTTTATGTCAAATTTTTTTTTTTT